TTTTTTTTTTTTTTTTTTCATCCTTTGTTACAGTCCCGTTAGGGAAACCTTTTCAGGGTTTTCACAAGAACCTCCCTGTGTATTTACGAAAAAAAAAAAAAAAAGAAAAAAAAAGGAAAAAACTCTCACTTTTTGCCCGTGAGTATATATTTGGGACCTATCCATAAGTACCAATCAACTTAGACCCGGTTCACCTTGACACAGACAGTATCTCTCACTGTAGGACATCGTGCCTATTATTGCATAGATACACCTATACGATCGAAACGAATATAGACAACGATTATACTTCCTCGTCAGCTGCTACACGCGGATGTGTATAATTGCCAAGATCGAGGACTTGGTTGAGTTTTGCTCGCCTGTAATCAGTTTTTTCTTTCGTCCTCGCGTCAATTGGAAATTTGAGGAAAAATTCCGTAGGAATACATTTCTCGAAATTATATAAGTATACGAGTGTATCCGTCAAAACATACATTGGCCATTGAAATTTCATGCGCTAATGTACATTCACACACACGCGCGCGTCGCGTAATCGGTTGATGCGAACAGAAGGAAATTCACGGTTGCGTGTGCATATATATACATGTCATTTGGCTTTGTTTACTCTTCGTGCCAAAGTCGTTTAATTGAATACGTTGGGTAAGCGAAGCGCTCATATACATAACACACGCGTGGATCTGAGACGGGAGAAAAAACTGTAGCCTCTGGGGTTTTTTTTTTTTTTTTTTTTGCGTTCATCCCAGACGAGAATGGCGAATGAAGTTTTTGTTTCCAAACAATGAGGACCGAGCGAAGCGTCAAGTGGTTTTATCAGACTCGGGAGGAAAATTCTTCTCGAGTTTTCAGCTCTGCTTGCTCGTTTGTTGTCTCTCATTTTCCGATTTGTCATCAAAGTTTTGCACGTAAAGCTATCAGCCGTGCACGCGGTTACTTTTCGGCCTGTCGTAATTAATCGGCAAAAAGATCTCGAAATTTGCAACGTGCAATATTCGCTTTGTTGTTACGATTCTTAGTTAATGAATCAGCGATAATCGCGATCTAAGAAGTGCTTTTCACTCTTTTTCTTATCTTCAACGAGCGTATAATATATTACAAAGACACGAGCCTTTATTGTCCATACGTATAATGTACCCGAATTCGCATGCGATTTCAAATTGATTTTGGTAAAAAACGTGTGAATCGCCGAGTCATCATGATTTTATCGTTCATCTCTCGAGTGACGTGTGCGCGAAGAAGAAGAAAAAAGTACAAAGTCTTTTTGCAGTCGTCAAACGTACGTTCACGATTGAGTATGAATGAAATAAAAAAAAAAAACTACTTTTTTTATTGAGATGAAAAAAAAGTCTTCGGTGACCTCCTTTGTTTCTATATAGCTTGAGTATCGTGTGCGTTTCTATACATATAAATGTACCTACACATACGTGCATTACGATGGCAGTCAACTAAGCTACGTGGCATGCAATACACACACTGACAAGTAGGTATACCACATTTATACAGTGCAACGTATCGCACACATAAACCACATGTATAGACTGGAGTCTTAATACAGCACTTTTGCAGTTGGTGTACATATATATACATGTATATTGCGTATGCGTATACATTAGTCAGCTCAGCTGCAGCTTTTCGCGTGCAATTGCGATTAAGTAAGGTCAAATAGTTGTCACAGCCGCTCTAGTTACTTGTGCGCTCTGTACGATACATGTGTAACTATATTTCTACTCTCTTGGGTACACTTGAGGACAAAAGGGATGCAGATGTTTGCCCCTTTTTTTTTGTTGTTGTTGTTGTTGTTGTTGTCCCTTGTACCAAACTCATCGGATAGGTGACTCCGTGAAAAGTGCCAATCATGGGGGGAAGAGGAGACGATTCATCACCGAAGCACCACCAAACAATACTTGCATAACTCCCGAGCTACTTACCTATACAATTATCTTTCATTAAACCCCAATTTACCGCACACGCTCCCTTAAAGGAATAATATACCCATGGCACAACAAAGATGATGATAAAAAAAAAAAAAAAAAGTAAAAATAAAATAATGTTCTGGCTTGGTTTAAGGATCTATAGAGTCACTTGTTGATCGGGTGCCGATCCGAGGAACGCCGCGAGGATGGCAGAAGCCCACTCGGCCGTCGCGTTCAGCTTCTCGATAACCCACGAGGGCTGGGACGTGAACTTCGACCGCGAGGTCCTCAACCTCGTCTGGCAATCGGGCGTTCGCTCCTGGAAAAAGCGATACTTTCGATTTTACGTGAGTGTGCAGCATACGCTGACATTTATTTCAATTGATTTTTCCCACTCGTATTATAAATCGTGGGTGTTTTTTAAAATTGTTTTTCTCCCTCACAGAACAACATAAAAAGCGGCGTGTATCCGGCGTCGCTTACCAGCATGTGGCTGTCGGTGATAATCGTCACGGCTGTACACTTTGCCGGCTACAAAGTACCTTACGACCCCGTCGGAAAAGTCGCGCCGTACCTGTTTGCGTGAGTATATAATATAATATTATGTATATATAAACTCATCGCGCTCTGTCTTCCACTTGAAAAATAAAAAATTGTATCAAGTAACAATCGTGTCGTCGCAGCTCTTACATGCTCGCCCACTTGGCGGGCTGTTTCGTCGTGGGTCTCCTGTTGTGGCTGGTGACGATTTACGCGATACGCTACACCTTGAAGCTGCTGCTCATCTACAAGGGCTGGATCTACGAGGCGCGCGGTCAGGGCAGCACCGTCTCGCCCGTCACGAGGTTTTGGGCACTTGCGGTCAAGCTGTTCTCCGGCTGGCACAAGCCCATGCTGTACAGCTTCCAGGGCTCGTTGCCTCGTCTCCCACTGCCCAGTCTCGACGACACCATGACCAGGGCAAGTGATCGCTTTTTTTTTTCTCGCGATTGGACACCGTATACATATTTGTGGATATAACGATCGTGTACGTATGATGCAGTATCTGAGGAGCGTGAGGCCGCTGCTGGACGACGAGAACTACAAGCGAATGGAGCGATTGGCCAGCGAGTTCCAGAGCGGCATCGGGGTCAAGCTGCAGCGCTACCTCATCCTCAAGTCTTGGTGGTCGAGCAACTACGTGTCCGACTGGTGGGAGGAGTACGTCTACTTGAGGGGCCGCTCGCCCATCATGGTCAACTCGAACTTTTACGGGATCGACGCCATCCTCATGCACCCGACCAAGATACAATCGGCGCGCGCGGCCAGCGCCATACACTCCTGCCTGCAGTACAGGCGGCTCATAGAGCGACAGGAGCTCGAGCCGGTGAGTGCACGCCACATACTTGCACGCATTTGAGAATTTTTCTCTTTTTCATCGGGCGATCGTTGCCCCCCTTTGCAGATTTTGATTCAGGGAATCGTGCCTTTGTGCTCGTGGCAGTACGAGAGGGTCTTCAATACGACGAGGATCCCGGGAATTGAGACCGACAGGATCGTGCATTACCAGGACTCGAAGCACGTCGTCGTTTACCACAAGGGCAAATACTTCAGGCTGCCGATTTATTACAAAAACCGGCTCCTGCAGCCCGGCGAAATTGAATCGTGAGTCGGTCTTACGTATATTTATACACTTGATCCCCTGCATAGGTACACACATCTATTATGGATCACCTGTGCTTGCGTTATTATTATATGTCTTCTTGATTTTGCTTTGTTAACGATTTCGGCGTTTACAGGCAAATCCAAGCCATCCTGGACGACAAGAGCACACCCTGCGAAGGCGAGGAGAGACTCGCGTCTTTGACCGCTGGGGAGCGAACGCACTGGGCCAAGACGCGCGAGGAACACTTTAGCAGGGGTATCAATAAAAATTCTCTGGACATCATCGAAAAGTCCGCCTTCGTCGTTGCCCTCGATGATGTGCCCTACGAGTTTGACAAAGTGAGTCGAGATGTTGTTTTCCCCCTCGGAGTTTACGAAATGGCACAAAGCAACGAATTTTCAATTCTAGAATCATCCGAAAAAACTCGACAACTACGGACGCATTCTCCTGCACGGAAAGGGTTACGACCGCTGGTTCGACAAGTCATTTACTTTGTGCGTTGGGAACAATGGCAGGGTAAGCTCACGCAATTTTATTGGGCACGATCGCATACTTACTTCATCCTTTGTAATGCCATTTTTATCCCGCAGATCGGTTTCAACGCTGAACACTCGTGGTGAGTATACACAAATATATGGACGCGTTTACGTATCAGCACCAAATTTCTATACAAAACAGGTATACAATGATATGACGACCGACTGTCTCTGTATACGCGGTACTCTATACGCATATCCCAAATTTGTCGATCCGAAAAGCCTTTCAAGTTTTAAATGCGATCGCGATTTACGTTAACTAAATTTAATGATGTTAAATGAGCAGGGCAGATGCTGCAGTGATGTCACATTTGTGGGAACATTTGCTCACAGAGCTCATTTTGGAACAAGAGTAAGCATTTGTCATCAAAAAAATAATAAATCATTTGATCGATTTAATCGCTTTTTTTTTGCGTAATACTATTGGTTGTAATTGGTAGTTGTATCGGGAAGAAAAAGGCTTTGATTAAAAATATAACGTGCTTAATGACTAATATATTATATTACTTGTATTGTATATGTAATATCTAGAGCACTGTATTTTAGGTTGAATGCGGTATTGAAACACCCAAAAAAAATTGGTGGTTTCAGACAAAACATTTGTGTTAAATATACATACTAGCACTTACTTCTTTGAACTCTTGAATATGTAATGGAATGCTCGAACGCTTGAATTTGATTGTAGGGCGGATGCTCCTATTATGGGAACACTTTGGGAATACATACTTGCCGTTGATGTGGAAGTGGGGTAAATGTTTACCCAATTTTTCTCTATACTTTTAACACCAACTCCATGCGCATGCCATTTATTTTTATCAATAATCACAAGTGCTTTTTCCCTACTCATACGCTTTAGACAATGCACGCAAATTTCTTTTTACCTTTTCTATTGTTTCTGCCGATTTTCAAAAAATAAGTCTACTTTGTTACACTATTATATTTTTTTTTTGTGTGCGAATTATTTTTTATTTCTTATATACACCACACGTGTGCAAAATTCATTTTTTTCGTGCTTGCATGTACTCAGCGCTGGACTTGGGCGCACTTGTATAATCACATTGTACATAAAACACTGTGCGACAGTAAATAACGCTATAAATTTATTGATTTCGCGGTCTCTTGGTGCACAATAACATTGGTATATGTTTTGCTGTAGATTCAAAGAAGACGGCCACACAAAGGGAACCCCAGAATTCACACCGCCAGCCCCGACCCGACTGCAGTGGGACCTGAGTCCAAAGTGCCTCGAAGCCATCGAGACCTCGTGTCTGGTAAGTACCGATCAGTAGCGATTTATGCGCAAGTTGTAGACTTTGCGTACGCATTGTGGATGTTTGTAGGTGGCCGAGGAACTCGTGAACGGAGTCGACCTTCGGATATACGTGCACGACGTGTACGGCAAGGGTTTCATGAAGAAGAGCGCCATGTCCCCCGACGCTTACATACAAATGGCCCTGCAGCTCGCGTACTACCGCGACGCCGGTAAGTTCTGTTTGACGTACGAGGCCTCGATGACGAGGCTGTACCGGGAGGGTCGCACCGAGACCGTCCGGCCCTGCACCATCGAGTCTTCGGCCTGGGTCAAGGCCATGGAGAACAAATCGTCCACGGTACGTGTGACCACGCTCGTTGTTGGCCGTTGTTATATTATGTACTATGATTCGTAAAAACGCGTTTTTCAGGTCGAAGAGAGGTACAAGCTTTTGAAAGCTGCCGCTGTTCAGCATCAGAAAGGGTACCAAGACGCCATGTGCGGAAAGGGAATCGACAGGCATCTTTTCTGTCTCTACGTCATCTCCAAGTACTTGGAGGTTGATTCTCCCTTCTTGAAGGTAGCTTTTTGTACCAAAATGTCCCGACGAAAGGTTTGAAGTCGGCTTTACCATTTTTGTTGCTTGATACATCAGGAAGTGCTCAGCGAGCCGTGGAAATTGTCCACTTCGCAAACTCCCCACGGGCAAACGTCCAAGTTGGATCTGAGAAAGTACCCGGACTGTATTTCGGCCGGCGGTGGATTTGGACCGGTGGCGGATGACGGTTACGGCGTGTCGTACATCATTGCGGGCGAAGATATGATTTTTTTCCACATCTCGAGTAAATTTAGTTCTCCCATGTCGGTAAGTTTTTCTCGAACGTGTTGGAAAATTTTGGTATTTCACGGGATGTGTCATCTTGCAGGACTCCAAGAGGTTTAGCAATCGAATCAAGACAGCCTTGACTGACATGAGAGATTTGTTTTTGGAGTACAAGAAGCTACAGAATCAAGCCAATGGATTCACATAACGTAGCGACGCATACTAGTTGATGGATTTTTAGAAGATTTTCATCCGAGTTTCATGGAGAATCATCTGTGCGAGTTTTTTACCTCTCGACAAATATATATGTATATGTAAACAGGTTTACTGCGTTTGTCTGTTTTTGTATGGTCGATATTGACTTTTGATATTATAATTTTTACCAAACAGTGAAACGCACAAACTATTGTTGATTTTTAATCATCGCGATGCGGCGACTAACTAAATTTTGTAAATTAAAAAGACGAAACAAAGTTGCGAGTGGTTTTTTACCAAGGTGTGATCATCGCGGGCAAACTATATAGTTGAATAATCAGAGACAGTTGTAGAGATTTTAAGACAAATAAGCGACAATTCTTCCAATTGATGAGAATGTGAACTTCTTCTTCCAATTTTAATTTTTATGGATCGCAAGGCGGAGATTTAAATGATAAATATTATTATGAGAAGACCAACGTTGATAGATATTTATATTGACAACTTCTTCGTTAAAACAATGCAATTAGAGTAATAAGAACATGTCATAAGTGATATTACAGTAATTGTACTGTCCTCGTTTTTTTGTCAAATTTGACAAAAAAAACGAAAAAGTTTGTTAACCTAAGACTATATTAATTAGTGTTTTAGTGAATGAAAAAAAAAAAAAAAAAAAATTTAAAAACGTGTTTGGCGAGTGAACTTTTATTATGAATATTGACGAATTCTTTATAACGAGAGAAAAAAAATGTGATCGCGCCGAATTTTTTAGTATTAGGAAATGTTAAGTGATGCCATGATTTTCAAATGTGCAACCTATCAATGCAAAATAATGAAATATTACAAATAATTTTGTACGATTATATATTTTCTATGTTGTTAACACGCAATTAGTAAAGGTATCGGTGATGCTTAAGACCTACGGTTGCCAATGTTTAGTCGTAAAAAATTATCTTTGCAAATTTTTCATCCTAAATTCTTATAAAAAAAGTGTTTAAATATGTAATTTTTTATCAAACAAATAAATATATACAACAAAAGTAGCGTGTCTTGTACAACTTACGATCAATTACTAAAGTTGTATTACCAGCAGCAAATAAAGTGGTTTTGTTTTTCAAATAGATTAACATATATTTTTATATGATCACCTCTTCTCAGATTTTTACTCTAGTTTTTAGACCTTCAATACATTAAAATTTTTATCAAAAACATTTGTTTTTCGTATTATCTGATGCATCAAAACACTAAATTTCTTTATTTTTAATCATTTTTGAAATTTTAGTCAATACTTTTGCAAGAATTTTGATAAAAATATTTATTTCAATATAATTTCAAGTCAAAAATAACAAACAGATCGAATTTTTTTCCATTTAACGATAACGCTACATCCGGCAACTCGATACATCATCACGAGATAATACTCAAAAAAAAATTTAGGTGGTGGAGAGGTACATATGAGTTAAATTTCAATAATAAACGTATCGCGTGAGCCACGAAAACAATTATTTCTATCGCTAAGTTATTGAATATATTTAATGATATTTCTGGTTTTTAACCATCAAAGTAAACATTCCAATTGAGTTTACCTGTATACCCCCCCCTCCCTAAGTCTAATTTTTTTTCTTAAAATTTATTGATCATACCACTGTTATACGTACGAAACCTCTTGCGTGCACCCCAAGCCAACATTTTTCCACGTTAAACCACCAAAGAAAACGTATCGAACAAGAGCGGGTATCTCATTTATTGAATGAATTTTTAATAATATACACAAATATATTCAAATAATACCAGTTGACGTTTATTGCATTTTTAAATGATACGAAAACATTCAAGATAGCAGAAAATTAAATTAATCCCCGTCATCTCAGGACACAAAAAAAACTCATCATTTTTTATGTTATCCATCAGCCTCGTTCATTTTCGATTTTTTTTCGTTGGTATTTTTTAATAATTGCTGTACCACGAAATTCTATATAAACTACGCCTGCAAGACAAAAGTTCAATTTTTCATCGCGTCAAACAAATCAAAGGTATAATTTTCAAAGTTTTTTTCTATTGTTGGTGTGCAACTTATTGCGGTTAATGTTTTTTTTTTTCTGTGTACCAAACAAGCCATGCAATTGTAATTTTAGCCAATGATTCAACTAATAACAAATGTCTTTTGTCTGTGACGATATAATTCATCTTTTAAAAACAGATCATAAGTATAGCATTATTAATTTAACTAAACTCTCAGTACTTTCGTTGTACTATTACGTAAATTGAAACTTTTTCACTAGTACATCAAAGCGCTTATACGTAATAATTATTCAAGAAAATCTTAATACTGACCTTCCACAATGCTTCTTATCTATAGTTTGTTGTGAATCATTCAATATTAGTAAATACGAAAACTCTTTATCTCTTGCTCCTTTGTCATATAGATATTCGCTCAACTAAACAATGAATGAATAATTAGTAAATACGAAAACTCTTTATCTCTTGCTCCTTTGTCATATAGATATTCGCTCAACACTTGGTGTAGAGGCATGACTATTTTATGTACACAACTTTCGTATCAACATAATGTAGTTTTTTTACGTATAAATATCTTGTTGTCGATCTTATCAGACTTGATATGGTCTTTTTTTTTTATTAGTAATGCGTAAATAATTTAATCCACAGAAGTTTTAGGAAAATTAAAAAAAAAGTCGAACCTCTTGGAGAAAAATCTTCATCAAGCATATAATAGCAACATACATATAATATCATACAAAAGTAAGCAAATGTTTTTATTCAGCCTATTAAAACTAGAATTTTGTTTTTGTCCACTTAGCTGTGCCATTTTTCGAAATTTTCATTCAACACGTTCGTAAAAAATAAGCAAGCAAGTTCTGCGGCCTCTTTCCCAGAAAGCATTTATTCATTAATATTTGTCCACAACCCCAAGTGGTATTCAATTACAGTGGATAAGAGGCGATACGAAAGAAATGAAAATAAAATCTTAGGTTTCAATGGTGCAATGATAAAAATATATTTTTGTCCCTCGTCAATTTCCCCACCATGGCACGCTATGGCCTTTTTTTTTTTTTTCGTTCGCGCCGTGCAGCTTCTCCGCGCGCATTGTACACATATATAAAGGGGCCCGGTAGTTTTCGATTGTTCAGTTAGCGCGCGATCATCACAGTTAAATTTCCAAAGACCCGTTCACCCAAGTATACACTCCATTGTTGGAAAATGATATTTTCGGTGTTTTTTTTCCTTGTCGCGACAGCGGCTGCGGTCCACTCGGCAGCTATTTACGAGGTGGACGTTACTGACGAGTGGGAGTTGTACAAAGTGAGCGTCATAGATTGAAATTGGTTTTTTTTTTTTTTTTTTTCATCACGCGTGTTTAAATTATCTTCTTCGCATTTTTCTCTCCCGCAGTTGCAATACAACAAAAACTACGAGAGCCCCACGGAGGAGAAGAAAAGGTTCAAAATATTCATGGACAATCGGCAAAAGATCGTCAGGCACAACAAAAGATACGAGCAGGGGCTCGTCACCTTCTCAATGGCCATGAACAAATTCGGTGACATGGTGCGTGCCATCGAGTCTCCCCACATAAAACCAAGCGCGCGTGTACATTTTTGTTGGCTTTTCAGACCGTTTGCGAGTTTTCCAGTAAAGTCAATGGGTTCGTCATGTCGCGGAGAAGCGCCAACTTTGCCGACGAGTCCGAGGGCGCGGCTTACCTGGAGCCGGCCAACGTCGGCAGTCTACCCGACCACGTGGACTGGAGGGACAAGGGCGCGGTGACTCCCGTGAAGGACCAAGGCGAGTGTGGCTCGTGCTGGGCCTTCTCAGCGGTAAGCTGTTTAATCTCTCTCATCCTCTCTTGTAGCTGATGAACGAAAAATGTTTCTTTGTCCCAACCGAGAGTGGCATTTTTTCATTCCACTTTCTTTTTATTTTTTTTTTTTTTATCTACCACTTGGTAATCATTATTATTTGATACACTGCGGGTCGACGGTGATTGCAGACGGGCTCCCTGGAGGGTCAGCATTTCCGCCGGAACGGCACCCTCGTCTCCCTGAGCGAGCAGAACCTGATCGATTGCTCGAGCAAATTCGGCAACATGGGCTGCGACGGCGGCCTCATGGACAACGCGTTCAAGTACATCAAGTACAACCATGGACTCGACAAGGAACAGAGTTACCCGTACGAGGCTAGGGACGACAAGTGCCGCTACAATCCGGCCAACAGCGGTGCCGACGACGCCGGCTACGTTGACTTACCCTCTGGCAACGAGAACAAGCTACAAACGGCCGTTGCCACCGTTGGTCCCATATCAGTGGCCATTGATGCCGATCACGATTCGTTTATGTTTTACAGTAAAGGTATACCTACTCTTAATATGACATACATGTGCACGTATTGCGTGACATAAAAGGTACTTGATTAATTTTCAATTGAAAATAATTTTATACACATATATGTTACAGGGATCTACTACGAGCCACTGTGTTCGTCTGAGTTTTTGGACCATGGTGTGCTAGTCGTGGGATACGGCACGGACCAGAAGAGCAACAAGCAATTCTGGCTCGTGAAAAATAGCTGGGGCGAAGCGTGGGGCGACCAGGGATACATCAAAATGTCTCGCAATCGTCATAACAATTGCGGCATTGCTACCTCGGCCAGCTATCCGCTGGTAAAATAAGTTTACGTATACAAGTGTGTATTTCAACTTATGGACATGCCATATCGTTATTATTTTTGCAATAATTTTTTTGTCAATTTTTTCATGTACTATACTTAAAAGAGTAGTTTATAAATATATGTGATAAATTTATTTCAAGTAATTCGATTTATTTTGCGGCTTAGTTGGTTCACTTTTTCTTCAATACGAAAGTGAAAAAATTGAAGAATTTTACTTGTGTCTTTATATTTTACCAGGGCTTAAAATCCTAAGTTACAAAAAGGCATGATTTTCCACTTTTATTGGTGCACCCTATAACTTATTTCAAACCTCAATCTTGCATCCTCCTAAACTTCTGCTTTCACTCAAAAGTTAGTACTACTAGAATATCATAACGTAATATGAAGATTTTTTTTTTAAACAAAATATACATTTTTCATCTTTGCTACACTCTTTTTCATGTTATTCTAGTAACAATGCTGGTTACATAGATGTATATTATACGTGTATTATACACAATTTACATACTTATAATTTACATCAATGTAATACCAAGTATATATATATATAACAAGTCGAACTAAACAAACGAATACGAATAATCTTCAAAATGAGTAGGTATAGAGCGTCACGCTTTAAAATAACCACTTTCATACATTAGGTACATACGATTGAAGCTGAGAAATTGACAACCCATAATTATTTTTTGTTTGCCCTTTCTTGTTGACAAGGACTGTTTGTACTCTGCGATGATTTGCGTTTGTTGGATTGCACTGCATTTCTTAATGTTGAATGCAAAAACCTCTTGTTTATCGACTCTTTTTTTTTAATCCAGCCGCTTGGGCCTATTACGGCTGCTCTCCTAGCTCTGATTTCAGCTTCTGCCAGAAGGGCCTCTGCTGCCATCCTTCAATGAAAATGTAACAATAATTCGTGAGTTACATGTTTAACATTGAAATTACAAAACTTTAAAAACACCAATATTTGCCTGTTTAATGTTTCTTCATCCATAACCTAAGTTAAAACTATAAATTGGCACTTCACAGTTATTGCAACTTGACTAAATTTACCGCATTCAGTAAGACATTTGCTACGAAGTAGAACATAATTTTATTAATGTAATTTAATAAACTAGTCACATCAATGTGGGTACTGAGTACTGAGCCCACTACACGGCACTAGTCACTACCGTAACCATTATTTAATTATTTAGTCACATACAGACATACAGTATGACATATGTATTATATATGTCACACACTGACACATACGCACGCGCGTGTGTGATTTCTATTTTGTTGACATATATTATTTTGCTACACGCTATATATATATAGTGAATTTAACAACTAGCGCCACCTGGCGGAGAATTTTTTGAAATGAAATGAAAGCCAGAAAGTAAGTGAGAAAGTTATTCCTAGATGGCGCGGATAATACGTAAACATAGGTATACACAAATGTGTGGCAGACGACAGTCATGCAAATGGTACAGTATACTGCACACGGACACGGCCTGCACGCGGTGTGCGCACTGCTGACATTTACACCTTTTATATACCGTCAAATTATACTTGTGGCATCGTAAATAAACAATAAATAGCTTATACAATGGAGAAAAGAAAAAAAAGTGGTAACCAACGAGGCAAGAAAAATACGAAGAACAAGTCAAACTTGTCCGACAAAATCACCCGTACGGTATGTGATTGCGAAGCAACGAAACACTCGCTCGTCAACAATTGCTTAAATTGCGGCAGGATCGTTTGTTTAAGCGAAGGACCGGGTCCTTGTTTTTTTTGCGGTGCCGAAGTTTCATACGAAAAAAATGCTTTGTTGCCACCGAAATTTACGAAAGAATCGGACAACAAGCAAAAACAGTTTTCTAAAGATAAGAAAACGCCAGATTTACCCAGTGAATCATTAAAGTTGAGGGACAGGTTGCTCGAGTTTGATAAAAATTGTGCTAGTCGAACTAGTGTCATTGATGATGAGAGTGATTATTATCAGGCCAACAGTACATGGCTGAGTAAAAGTGAGCGCGAGAAGTTTGAGAAACTTTCTTTGGAGGCACATGATAAAAAGCATGAGTCGCGTTTGATGAAAAAGTTTGCTGTTGATTTCACTGGGCGAGTCGAGGTTGAGCAAGATGATCCTCTGGATTTGTTTTGTAATATGAATGCCATTCAAGACGACAGACACTATGATAATCCAAATTCCAGGAATGCCTTTGATATAATTGAAAGACCTATTTATGTCGGTGATGATAATTTACCCTCAACTGGACCTGACATGCATGAAGATTCTATTAGTAACAGGGTCCAGGACAAAGGAATCTTGGAGATCACTGATAAGGGTGTTTGTTTGAGTATGCATCAGCCATATGCCTCTCTGCTGGTCAGAGGGATAAAAAAAACTGAATGCAGAACATGGTATAGTTCCCACAGAGGTAGATTGTGGATAGCATCAACCGCTAAAGAACCAAGAGCCGAAGAGATCAAAGCTATTGAGGATATGTATCGACATATAAGTAGTAAAGAAACTGAGTTTCCTCAATCTTATCCTACTGGTTGTCTCATTGGATGTGTGACTGTTACTGACGTTTTGTCTCAAGAAGAGTATCAGAAACTTAATCCATACAGTCCAGTTGAGAGTCCTTATATATTCATGTGTGAAAACTTCTTTGAACTCCCATTGAAGTACCCATTGCAAGGGAAGCATAAGATTTATAAATTAGAACCTGTCATTCATCGTGCTGCTCTTAACTGTTTAGAAAAGACTTGTAAGCAGATGTCGAAAAAAAATTAATTAATTTTCAATCATATATTTATAATTTACAGTTATTTTCATAGGTGATTATTGGTATGTTATTTTGTCATTGACAATAATAATGTAATTATTGAATAGTTGAATAAAGTTATATTTTTAAAATCTTTTATTTATTGATTTAAAAAAACGTCAAAAATTTTTTTCACAATAAAATCAGTAAAAAAAGAGCATCACGAAACATAATTACGGTACAATCCTGATAACTCAAATAGCACTCATTGAAAGAAACAATTGCTGAACAGATTATATGTACAATTATACAAAAATATGTTTATTTTTTTTTGCGTTTACGGCGGTGTCTTTCTTCATTGCTTTCACTGTCACTATCAGATGACGAGTGCTTACTATGTTTTTTGCGTTTCTTACTCTTTGTCTTTTTACTTTTTTTCTTGTGTCTCTTTTTGTGGTCGTCTTCAGAATCAGAGTCTGAAGATGAAGAGTCTGATGAGGATGAACTGTCACTGTCATCATCACTACTACTGTCACTAGATTCTTTTTTCTTGTGATGTTTTTTCTTACGCTTTTTTTTCTTTTTCATCTTCTTTTTTTTAAGTTCTTTTAGTTTTTTTTTCAGCTCTTTTTCCCTCAATTCAGTCAGTGGGGTTATGTAATTTTCATCACTATCTGAACTTGTGCTACTCACATCAAGAACAATTTCCTTGTTAGGGTCAACTTTAATGAAATTCCTGCACTGGTAAGTCAAGTGTCCAGCATAGCCACATTTCCTGCAGGCTGGTCGTACATCTTTATTTTGAGGAATGAGTCTTGAAAGTATTTCTGGATCCATATTGCTGCAATAAATGTTTTTGTGTGATCACTTATAATGTAGAAAGATGTTAAAACTCATGCTAAGTAAACTGGCATTACTAATGCATTATTATTTATCTTCTAATATTATAGAAGTAATCCAACTTAAGAACTTACTGCTATTTTGCATCAGAAGTTTCGCAAATAGTATGCTGAGTGTACTGTTGTAATTATTAGAGTAACATTTTATGATTAAAAATAAAAAATTCTACGTAACAGTGCTACAAAATTATGCACTTAAAACTTATTGATGAATCGGAAATATTTGGAAAAAAACAGTACTTAAATTAAAAATTCTAAGGTTAAGTACTGATATATAGTTTTCTGCGACCTTAGTTTTTTTTTTTTTTTTTTTTTTTTGGCGGCGACAACAACCGTTAGGTATAAAATAATCGATAGGATCGATGGATTCCATTCGACTCCTCGAATACCGAAAGAGCGATATATATCTTTAGAAGTCGACTAGTCGAGTGCATAAGTCGACCACAGTATTTACCGGGGTATTTGTAAAATTCACGCGTGAACGATGATAATCAATGTTTATGTAAGAACATACACAAGTTGATAAAGTGGGTTGTAAATTATTTGTGATGTAAATGAATAAATGAATAAAAAAATTGTATGACTCATCAGATAAATGAATGCATCAAATCAAACTACTTTTTGTTACAAGCTTGAGATTTTCTTAAACAGAAAACAACGTAGTTATTTTATTATGCATAAAAATATTTTTCTAAATTTGCCATGTGTTTAAAACTTGGAAGACAATGGGCGGTATTATAATGTAAAGTAAGATTTTTTTAACAATAAAATGAAAAATACAGGCAAAAAGAAAAATTTTCAACTAAAAACTACACCCTCTGTTTAATTTTTTTTAAGCTAATTTTCATAATAAACAGATGAATAACAAGTATCACGTATACTATTGTAGTAGAGATAAAAATTAGAAATAAGCATTAAATGCGTACCATTCAATACGAAAAATTAAAGAAGAATCATGAACATGTCTAATATGTCTATACTTATGTCTACTATACAAAATAACAAAACGAATAATTATAAAAAAAGTATATTAAAAATGTATTACAAGTTTAATGAATAACTTCATTATTTATCAGAATTATAGATGGGCAAACGAATTATAAAGAATAAAGATGTTTTCACAGATAATTGAAAGTATGGCTAGCTATTACTACTAAGCCAATATTTAAGTCAATTAATTAATTAATCTATATAGTTTAAATATTGAATAATAATAGGGTTTGTAATATTTAAGAAAGTTCAGCAGTAACTGTTAAGTCAAAGACGTATGACTACACTTAAGAATAATTTCTATTACACTTACACATGTATACTTACTCTTATAAAAATGAATAAATCGACTGTTGTAGAAAATAATACAATCGTTTTAAAAACGTTTCGATTCCGATTATTCTTGTATGAAGTAAGTACTTTTGTCCAATTGAAGATTAATTACGTCACTTGCGTTTTTTTAATTTCGTACTATTTGTAAGACTTAATTTTCTGCTAAACTTTCCCAAGTCCATAGAAAAGTATCTAATTAAAAAAAAAAAACTTTTTGCTAGTAATAAAGATTAAAATAATATTGCAAGTCATTGTAAAAGTTGTATCCAAAGAAAAATATAAGGTTGATCTCTCATTTTCAAAACAAGGACTTATAATTAGGATGATAGTGCTATTTGTATAAAACAATACACTACAATTAGATATGGGTTGTATACTTAAAAAAAAAACTACTAGCTAAAGGATAGCTAAATAGATACTTTACAAAGAGAATTATTTTTATTACAACATCATATAAAATCTACCTTGAAAGTCTTTCGAAATTACCATAAAATATAAGTCAACAAAACGTTATTCACAATGCTATGCTTAAAAAATGGTATTTTTTTTCTTCTCGTTGCCAAACATTTTAATTTTTCTTTCCATGTCTAACTTTCATTTTAAATCATCTCTGACTGGACTCAAAACTTCTTACTTTTCATCAACAACTTCTTTTACATTTTTTTCAACATTCAACATTCCAGATCCTCCTCACACGACGCACAACTATTGTTATATTTAAAATTTTTTTAAATTTCACTGTATCGTAACTATTAAGTTTGTTATCATTTGATTTGCTTCTGCGAAAAATACATCTACGGAGAGATAACATTCAGTAAAAAATAAACACATTCACGAGTATTAGTATACGTATTTATACGTGTATACGTAGGCTTTTGCGCGTAATTTTTGTTTGACTAATTAACGTGACATACATAACAAAAATACGACGCATATACAACATTATGCTTGATTACCTTATTCATATACAAGATTTTTTTTTTATTTTGAAATGTACATCGACTATTTTTGATAATATGGAGGCCTGCTCGTAAAATAAAATCAGGTAAAAAAACTATTCTATTTAACAATAAATTGATAATAGCACCACATATGTGTCTGTGTGAATTTCTGTATTTTTTTCTTCTCTTAATTTTTGGTATTCATGATATAGTCTTCGTCTAAGAAATTTTAAATAATTGAATAAAAAGAACAACTAAATAACGAGAGTAGATTTTAGCATTAGTTTTTCTTATATTTTTGGTCACACTTAATAGTCTTATTCATGTTACATTAACTATAGCTTTTATTAAAGATACTTCACACGTACTATAATTTTTTAAGTTATTCTCTCATTAGTTTACCAATAATGATTTTATCAGTGTCACTGTGTTCTCAATGCACATATTAAATTTATTTTTACTGCTTAGTTCAGCAGGTAGGCGCTTCTTATTATTTTTTTGCTCTCGTATGATTTGAAAACTTTTTTAATACACAGTACACGCAATAACGCAAATTATTTATTGGCTTACGATCTATGAATTAATTAAATCGTTTAGTTTATATCGCAGTGACCACAAATCAAAACAAATTATACGTTTATGCTGGACATTACGTTGGAGAGAAAAGATTGACGAAAACACTGTACTGAGTTTAATTATTAAATTATTTCTTATGCGTAATATACCGACATCGAAATTAATTTTTTTTTGTTTTTTTTTTTTTTGTTTTTTTGTTTGTTCATGGAGCACTTTACGGAGATTAATCGATTCACGACAAAAATTTTTATTTTTTTCTCAGTTAAAATACGTTCGATCTGTACTTTATATGCTACATGTGCGTCAATAAAACTATTTACACGTCAAGTAGTTGGTGCAACATTGCTTTTGCTTCATTTGGAGCTTGTCAAGTTTATATTTGACAATCAAGCTTGTCATAAACTATTTGAAAGCCTCCTTTTTGTCATGAGATATATTTTTTTGCACGTACATTTACTTCAACTCCTTTTGAAAAACGTTAATGAATTATTGTTAGTTTGTGGTCCTCGAAGTTTAGGGGTTATCAGTGCAACGTAAACAAACATAACGAACAATAGACTTTGACCCTTTAAAAACTCGCGTGCATTGTTTTCAGTTCTGATTTTGATTCACATTTCTTTCACCGATGACATTTTACGTTATCTGGACAATTTATGTTTCAGTTTATAACTTTACAGCTTATGCCAAGAATATACCGTTGTTTTGTCAACTTCATGCAAAGCTGTACAGTCAGATTTAAACGCGCAACTTACTATGATGTTTTAACTGTGGCAACTTTCACTTTTTTTAACAATTTTTAAACATCCATCATACATATATTATTCTAATATCTATGGTAAACTGTTAACTACAACGCTATTTGTCGATTATTTAATATTTGAAATGTATGCTAGCAATTTTTTAAAAAATTGAACCAAGTTTTTTTTTTTGTAATGAAAATTAAAACAGAAAAAAAATGCATCAAATATTAAACATCGTACTCATGATTTTCTACGTCTAAATTAGCATCAACATCTACTTTCTAGTATATGTACTTTAAATCAATAACAGATCGATCATTTTCAAGATTACGTTCAATAATAGCAGTGGTTCAATTAGATATATATCCAAAATATCGATCTATCATCGACTTCTACAGTAGTCGCTAAATCACAGAATTGAATGAAGGAAAGACATCAATATTGGCTTTCTTTAATATTTAAAAAAATTTGAACGCGTTGACTTCTACATTGGATGATTTTTATATCAAGACGTGCATAATAAATATACAATTTATGTAATTTTTTTTTTCATGCAAAGTATAGAGGCATCATAAAAAAATTTTTTTAAGCATGGCCTTAGCAATTATAATATAAATTTTTAAAATATTGTAGGGGACAGTCTCATACCTTTCTCTTGATGAGGTAATAAATCATCTATAAACGAATCAACTTAAAAATTTTTTTTACAAAAATCATCATTAATTTTTTTATTTTACAAATACATTCGATCGAAAAAATTTTTTTCAATCTTGAAAAAGTACACGCAACTTTATGGCATTTCTATCTCGACAGTTCGGTAGAGTACATAACTCCTTCAAGTTTTCATCCAAAATAAAGGAAAATTTTCCTTATAATGTTAAAAGACGATTTACAAAACAGTTGTATAGGGTTTGCTTAAAATATTTGTGAATGTAGTTTCGTTTGTTAAAAAACGTCCTTTCAACTGTCCCCTTTAAACACGCAGTTTGAACATGATGAAACTTTATTATCACAATGAATCAACGCTTTGTTGTAGCTTACGCTTCACATGTTCATATATTATGTACAGTGATGTATAACGATTACATGTAAACAATGTGCGACAGCTTTCAGTTAGGTAATTCGTCAAAAAAAGCACGAATTGTATGTAATACACGAATACGTACATTCATACGAAGATATATTGGAATGACAGCGATGTGGAATTCAACATTTATAGGTGACAAAGTTAAACTTTTTCTTCATTATATTTTACGAATCTAGCGTAGTACTGGTCCCTTTTTATGCAAGCTTATTTGGATAACACGTAATTTACTTCCTTTCAAAATTATTTTTTTGAATTCAGTCTCAAACTCGCATTACAGTTTAATTAACGCCAGCCACCACATTTCCGGAGCAACTTTTTTTTGTTAATAATATTTATTTACTCACACATATAAGTCATTAGTTTATAAAAGCTTGACGTCACAAGAAAAAATATATATAAATATTCATTTTTCACGTACAACGCAATCTCACAACAAATAATATACACCACGAGCGTATATATGTTGGATAAAAATTTGATTTTCCATGTAAATAGACAACAAATTCTTTGAGTTTAACAAGCAATGCAGTATAGAGTATAGGCAGAGTTATCTTGGCTGAAAAACGAATACAATTTTTGTTGCACTTTTACTTCATTCTCGGACTCGTTTTGA